AGCGTAGAGCGGAGGTAAAGGTCTAGCAGAGAAAGGAACCCTTTAACGGAAACTCCCGACGCGTTTTGGAACTTGCACATGCCGTGCTCATCAATGGCGTTGCTCACAGACCCGAGCAGGTAATTGACATCTAGATTATAATACATATCTTCGATATCTAACGAAAACAGACCGAGGGGGACAGGCGAATCGTGGAGAGGGGTGAAGTGTGAGATCAGGTCAGAGGAGTTGGTGATGCGGAAAGGTTGAGGGAGATTGAGAGCGGTTAGGTGCTTGAGTAGAAAAGATGCCAGGCGCTTCTGCCAACAGCCGTTATGATGCTGCGGAGCGGAACATCGGGTTTGTGAGTTTTTGCGGAGAAAAAGACAGTCAGGTACTGTTTTGAGGGGGCGGCTATCGCGTTCCTCAAGGCTGGCAGGTCAAGGTTCGTGCACAGGTCTTTAACCTTGGATCTCAAAGATCCCGAAGGTCTTTTTTTGAGCAACATAAAGTTCTTATCTAGGGCAGCTCCCACCTTAACGCCGAAGAGGTCTTCTTCCATGATGACGAAAACGCCTGTTTTGTCAGATTCCAAAAGTTTCAGTCGGGCGCCGCGCAGCTCCTCCACGACAGAAGGCACCAGAGACCCACCCGAGGAGGGCGGGGGAGGGTGGGCACATGCTGAGCGAACCGCTGAGCCCACGAAGTCTTGACGATCCTGTTCTGGGATCGTCCTCCCTCAACCTTTCCGCATCACCAACTCCTCTGACCTGATCTCACACCTCACCCCTCTCCACGATTCGCCTGTCCCCCTCGGTCTGTTTTCGTTAGATATCGAAAATATGTATTATAATCTAGATGTCAATTACCTGCTCGGGTCTGTGAGCAACGCCATAGATGAGCACGGCATGTGCAAGTTCCAAAACGCGTCGGGAGTCTCCGTTAAAGGGTTCCTTTATCTGCTAGACCTTTACCTCCGCTCTACGCTCGTTGAGTACGAAGGAAAAATTTACATCCAGAAGGCAGGTGCCTGCATCGGGTCTTGCCTGGCGCCTATTCTTAGTGAAATCTTCCTAATGTATGTGGATCGGGATATAAAGGCGAAACTGGAGTCGACGGCACCCGGGTGCCAGGTATTCAGGTACGTAGACGATTATCTTGTGCTGCACCAGGAACAGACAGAGCCTGAGATCATTCTCAAAGCCTTCACATCAAGCCCCGCCGGCCTCACGTTCAAAAGAGAGGACACGGTAGGGGGTACCCTTCAATTTTTAGAACTACAACTTAGTCTCCGACCCGGGGGGTTGTGCTGGGAATTCAAACAAAGATCAGAAAAAGCATTTCTCCCCTTCACCAGCGCCCACTCAAAAACAGCCAAGCTAGGCCTGGTTAAGTCCCTCCTGAAGACTGCGCGATCTAGGTCCTGCCCTCATCTAGGCACAAACAGCGTTATCCTGCAAATAGATAGGTTGCGGAAAGCTGGATATCCAGAAGACCTTCTGACAAATACTCTAAAGAGGCTGATTACCTCCTCCAATACACCTCCGTCTACACCCCGACCCCGCCGAAAACAATTCGCCGTCATTCCGTACACGCACAACACTTCACATCGCCTCAAGGCGCTCGCCTCACGTTTCGACGTAGGAGTCGTCTTCAAGTGCAAATTCAAACTGAAGCAGATGTACCGTCAGGTCAATAATCCTTCCCCTCCAAATCCCTGTCCCAAGAAACATGAAAAGCAGTTCGTCCCTTGCCGGAGAGAGAGAATATATTCCATTCCTTTCTCTTGCGGGGGAGAATATATCGGCCAAACGGGCCGGTGCCTAAATGACCGCCTGAGGGAGCACTTTTGAGAGGTCGCCGATCCCAGCGAGGAAACGGTGCACCCGATTGCAGCACATCGTCGCACATGCGGAGGATGTAAGCCAAGGTTCAAAAAAACGCGCGTGCTAGGTCGCCATCCTCAGAGATTCGGCAGGGAAGTTATCGAACCTTTTCCGATAAAAAACTCCGTCGTCAATGTCTCTTCCCCCTCGCTAGCCCTCTCCGATAGAGAGATAGATTATCTGAGCCAAGAGCTGTCCGGGGTGATTAGACGACCTCGGTGAGCGGCCCAACCCCAACGAGTCCACGCACCCAGCCGCCTCTCCCACCCTCCCTTCCTTCCTCTTACTTCCCCCTCTGCCTCTGCCTTTTTCCCCCTTTCCCTAAGTCTGCGCAGGGGAACATACGTTCGCACCCCATGGAATAAACTTTGTTGAGAGTTGAAAGAATGTACTCGTCTGTGTTTCGTCCTCTCTGTTTTATGCTTTCTGTTATCTAGTACATCGTACCAACACGCTCGTTAGGAATATAATTTCTCTTCTTATGCCGCAGGATGTTACTAAACATCATAAGAACTAATTGAATTTGCGTATATTGATGGCATAATATTTTCAATGTTGAGGCAAAATCTATGAGCAATCAGTACCATTAACATACCTTCTTAACGCCAGAAGGATATTAACGAAATTTCACATCACTTTTAATTTAGGTACACTTGAAACACACTTAAAGACCTTTGGTTCAATAGCTCGTGTCTTGGCGGGATTCAAGGATGGGATGGATTACCTTATGGCAGTTGTGTACCTATTACAAGTGATCATATTAGTTGTAATCTAATACTTTACTTTTAGAGTAATTTTGTAATTGCCTCATGACGTTCCTCACGCAGTAGTTGCACAAATTATCTGATTGCTTTTATAAGTAATCTAATTATAGTAATATTTGCTTTTTTTTACACACTACCCCTTCGTTTATTTGTTTTTCGCGATAGCGTGTTTGTGCTTGTGTCGGAGAAATTTTGGCGTCGGCGGATCCTTAAAATCACATCATGCATCGCGTGCAGCCACGCCTGACGTCACGCGTGTGACGTGGCACATGGCTGTGACTTCATGACCCTATCGACCCCATAAATTTGGCGGGAAACGTTTACACTAAATTTAGCGGAAAAGTTTCCCTAAAAATTGATCGGAACATTTTCCCGCCAAATTTAGCAAAAGATTTTTCGCTAACTTTGGCGGGTCCATAGGGTCATGACGTCAGAGCAACGCGTTATGTCACGCGTCACGTGACATTACGTCAAACGTGACGTCATATGACGTCACATGACACATGACGCCACCGACTAGACCACGCACACACGCTTGCAAGGCTTGGGAACGAGCACCGGTTTATATTAGAAGGCTTTGCGAACGGGGCCCGATAACGCAATCGCGTTCCACTCTTAAGGGGAAGCTTAAGCGTCCCCCATGTTTCTGTCTTTTTTTTTCTTCTTTTTTTTTTTGCCATTGTGGGTTTTGCGTTCTGTTACCACCAAGTGTGCGGCCGAACAAAAAAAATACGAAAGAAATAATATGTCGTCCGCTCACAAAAGTGTCACAAAATTGCATAAATATTATTATAATGGAAATTAGAAAGTGTACTCTAAATGTTTCGTGTCCAATGAAGCCAGGATTAATTTAACCCAAAACGGTCAGGCCAAATTCTTTTTTTTTTTTTTTTTTTTTTAGAAAACGGACATATTATTTGGGATTACAATGACTTGCAGCATCCTCAAACTAACCTTTTGAGTATGTTTTTTATTAAGATTCTGTGTGTGTGTGTGTCGGTGTGCAGTTTGCAACAAAACTTGAATACGAAAAAAATCCATTGAAACTTGTCCCATCTATTCGCCAATTCCTCCCTGCTCTCTTGCTCTGTCACGTGAAGGGCATTAAACCCCGACAAAGTGGTTTTCACGCAATCTGAAGATGACTTTCCTTCATGATGATAACTAAAGCAACTTTGAAATTTTAGCCACCTCTTTGAATCGTATGCACGAAAGAATCTACACTTTTAGTGGGACTTTGCAAAAAATTTTGAATTTATAAACGTTAGTTGTGACCGTTAATTAATCAAGTGATTGAATCAATTATTTTCTCGCCAGGAGTAACTTGAGTCGATTCTTTTTTCTTCGTCAACCTATATAAGATTGTCTGATTGTGAGTGATTTTGCGTACGTGGATTAATTTATATTAATATTTCAGGAATAAACAGTGCAAAAAGAAGAGGGCATTGGATGATTCGCATCGTATTAGTGGGAGCCTCACCGGGGGCTTGTTAGAGCAAGATCGAAACTGACTAAACCAATCGTCTACATTTTAAATATTATGGCGTATCTTAAGGGCACCCGAAGCGATTTTATATATGAGGAGACAGATTACATTAATCATCACAATTTGACCATCAGGTAAAATTGTGATGATTAATGTGATCTTTTTCCTCGTGATAACTTTGACTATCAGATAACACCCTTTTCGAAAGCCCGTCAGACACAACTGGCAGCTGTAAGACACGAGGGCTGAGTCTTGGAAAGGAATGAGGAAAGTATATTTATATTAAAGACAAACGTTAAGTAATATGGCTAAGAGCAAGTTAGTGGTGGCTGGCTTGACTGGCTCAATGCTCGACAGGCCCGAGACAGGCACCAGACTCGAACGCACCTTCCATCCTGGCCGGGCATGAGGGCGGCTTCTTTCTCAACTGTCACCAGGCACGCTAATTTGGGGCGCGTCAAAGGAAATAGAAAGAAGAAAAAAAAGACGGAGGATACCATGCGCTCACATCCCACCGTAGCCTTAAAGGGATACTGAACTGTGAAATCGGGTCGACGTTTTTGGTCTTAATCGCAAGAATGGCACGTCATTTAATTTTTACTGGCGCTGGTAAAGCGAAAATACCACGTAAATTTTAATAAACCGGAAAATAAGCATTTTAAGGTGCCCCTGGTGAGCGTCTCCGGAACCTCGCTTCGTGACGTCAAAGACCTCAGAGACCTCGCGCAGCTGCCTCAGGAGACGCGAAAAATCACAACTTTGTTGGTCTGCTGTCACCTGTGACCTGCCGCGTTTACCTCGAGCTCGGTGGCGTGGTTATGGCGACACGTGCGTGCGCCAAGAGCGGCAGCAGCAGCAGCAGCAGTAGCTGCAGCGGGAGCGGGAGCGACGCAGTACCGTCGGATGAGGAGCGCGAGCACCTGCCAGCGAAGAGGCGTAAGGTGCTGCCTTACGCCTGCGACCCGTCCGCGACGTCGGACAGTAATGAAACTTCAACGGAGCCAGCAGCGGAGTCCTCGCCAGACGCTCTGCCGCGAAGTGACAGGCGGCGGCTACTCAACACACGCTGGTAAGAACACGCGCACATGGCGCAGCGTATGTCTTGCATAGGCCCGGGAGAGCGATTGTTTTGGGGTTGCGCGAAGTTGACTTGCAGCCTCGAAGAACCGATTGTTTTGGGGTTGCGCGAAGTTGACTTGTAGCCTCGAAGAACCGATGATAAATGGGGTTTTATATATTATGTTATCAGGTGTACTAGTGACTGACATGCTCTTGGTATCGCCGAGCGGCGGCGAGTAAGCTCCAACCTGAACTTATCGGCTCCATCGTTTGGGCTACAGAAAGATGCGCCTCCTTTTGCTAGAAACTGTCAGTGCTAAGGCAGGGCTACCCGTGCACCTGTCCCGCGAAGGCGCGTTAGAAATTGAAGATGCATCAGCTGCGTGCGGGCTTGAACCTGCACGTAGTGCCGATACACCGTCGAAGTACTCACGTGCGCGCTGTACGTTTTATTATGCACGTGTTTGCGCAATGCTGGGCCCCAGGTTGGGCACTCAGGCCTTTGTGGCATGGGCAGCACTGCTTTTTTGCGGCCCTCTATGCCTGGGTCAAAGATTCCGGAATATGAATAAAGTATTACTATATTATTATACGCAAAAATGTAGCTGCTGTATAGTGACTGCATCGTGGTTGTGGATACTCCCAAAAGGCATCTGAGGCTTGAGCAGTGTTTGGGTGACACAATTGGATTGAGAAAAGAGGAAAAGTGTGTAGCCACACCAGTGCCCACACAGCATTACAGAAATGTTGACATATGCACTAATTCATGTTTCTACCTTTGGGAAACAGGTGCTGCTGCGAATCCCGGTGTGGCACCATGTCCACACCAGTGGAAAGTGTGTGCTGCAAGGAGCAGTGCAAGGTCAAAGAGAAGGCTGGGAGCCTTCCCTGCATCACGGCACACAGGCTCTTCGAGCTGTACTGCCTGGACAGGGATATCCTGGACTTAGAGTACAGGAAGCTGAGAGTCTGCCGGCCTCTCAGCACAAGAAACATAAAGGAGATAAATGCGTACGTACAGTGAAACTAAATTACTATACTTTTTTACTATCATGTGCACCGCTTTGTAAATAAAGGGAGGATGCAAAGCGAGATTTGCATTAGATGAACCAGAAAAGGCAGTGCCTCAATGTTGGCAATTGAAGTTTCCGACACAGGCAGGTTTTTATTGGTGGCCTGAAAAACATACCCAAAATTTAGAAGCAAACCATTCATTACATGCTTGCTCGCTCGAATATGCATGTTTTAATGAAACTACAGCTTGTGGCGTCTTGCTGCTGGCCATCGAACTAAAAACAATGAATGCCTTCTAGTTCCAAGTGGATACCTGGCAGTGTAACTAAATAACTTTATTATGTTATCATTGCAGTAAGTACAGGTACACGGCATACTGCCAATTTGTTTGGTGGATACACGGAAGGCTCGGAAAGGAGAACCGGGTCACCTTGCCCAGCTGCGTGGTGACCAGGGTCCGCAAAGAGTTCCCCGCCCCGAACCCTGCAGACTACACGGGCTTCAAGCAGTCAAAGTGCTGAGTAAGTTTGCATGCTATCTACCTTCAAACCTCCTAATTATGTATCTTTTCCTACCAAGCACTTGGGAGCAACAGCTTGCACGAGCAGTACATAATTAATGTTAGAATGAAGAGATCAATATTTGACATATAAGAAACTCACTGTTTATTGCAAACTAACCAATTTTTTACTTTACAAACAATGTGTAACAACGATCACAGACTGGAGACGAGGAAATGGGCCAGAGACGTTTTGAAAAGGAGCTCATGGCAAGGAGCTAGTGGCCTGGGAGCGCATGGCCCAGGGCTTGTGCTCGGAACACATGAGATTGACACGTCAGATCGAACTGCTTTGTTGCTTGTGCATAGTGTAAATAAATGTTTGCATCAACGTAACCAACAATGACCACCAGAAGTTCATGCATTTTGTGCGGAAACCCGCTACGTAACGATTCGACGAAGGGAATCTGGTAGACCGAAGCAATACCTATCGAACGACAGAAGCAACGTTCCATCGAGACAAGACTGAAAGATCATGGACATCCTCAAGAAGAAACGGAAGACTCTGCAAACACAAGTAACTAAACTCCTCAGCGAGGCAAAAGAATTATTTCAGCTGACTCCAGCAGTCATCGATGACCTAGAGATTTTGATTGAGTGCATAAGCCTCTCTCGGGATCAACTCGGCCACGTAGATGCCGCGATCGAGCCTTTGATTACCGAAAGAGACGTGAAAATGGAGTTCACGCCAATCATAGATTATACTGACAAGATTGTCACATGCCTCACGAAGCTCAGAAAGAAGGCGAAGGGCGTGGAGAACAGCCAACGAGCAAGTGGTCCCTCGAACGATTGGAGAGCAACAGCCGTAGAAAGTCAAGCTTCCAAAATTAGAATTTATCAAGTTCAACGGCAACCGGAAGAATTGGCAAGCATTCTGGGAGTGAAACCACAATCCACGAGAATCCGGAACTGACTCCATCGAAAAAGTTCAATTACCTGAGATCAGCGCTTACCGGAGATGGATCAGCTGCCATCCGAAACTACAGCCAACCGCTCAATGCTATGCGGACGCGATCGACCTTCAACAGCAGCGGTTCGGCAAGCAAGAGACTCTGGTACACAACCACATGGAAAGTCTGATGGACATCCAGAAGGTACCACTACAGGGCAATGCCCGAACCCTGCGTCGTTTGTACGACAGTCTTCAGGCGCACATCTGGGGACTTGGAGCACTGGGTGTGGGCGAGGAATCCTACTGCGCCATGCTCTACTCGCTCCTACTGCGAGCACTACCGAAGGACATGTCCCTGGATTACAACCAGAAGATGTCGTTGGAGGACACCAAGAACGCCACCGCAGTGACGGGCACCAGTCCCGAGTCTCCAACAGAGAATGTTCATCTAAGAGCTCTACAGACTCTACTCAAATTTATTCGAGTTGAAGTCGAGAGCTGGGAAAGGACGTCAGAGGAACAAGAGGACGACTTTGGCGGTAAGCCTGCAATTCGTTTCCCTAAACAAGAACTGCCGAAGAAACTTTCAAACTACACAAACCTTCGAAACTCTACCGCAGCGGCCTTGTATGGCAAGACTGAAGGCTTAGAGTGTTAGTTCTGCAAATCCGAAGAACACGCCACACCTGACTGCAACGCCAATATTGAGCTCACTGAGAAAAAAAAACAAAGATTACAGGCTGGCAACAGATGCTTTCGTTGCACAAAAGCAAACCACACGGCGAGAATGTGCCGAAGCACGCCGTGTTGCACCAGGTGTCAAGGATGGCATGCGCCTACTATGTGTGACCCGGATTACGTACTGGAACGACTTTTCGCGGTGAATAAAACAGAAAGCGAAGATAAAACACCGGTCAGTCTTCAGATCAATGAAAAGAACTGCAAGCCAGCAGTGTTCTTGCAGACGGTGACCGCATGGGCCGAGAACAAAAACAAAAGAAGACTATCCCGAATTCTTTTTGACAGCAGCAGTCAACGTTCCTTCATTACGGAGGAGCTGTCCCAGAGACTCGGTTGCAAACAACTCGGGATGGAGATCCTCACGTTCGGCGTGTTCAGAGGCGAAAGCACCGAACGTATGTTTCGCAGGGTGCAGCTTACTTTGCGGGACCAACGGTACTACGAAAAATATGAAATCGACATGCTAGAAACACCTACCATCTGCGAACAAAATCTCCCGAGCCCAGATTAATCCATCGTCGCGACATTAAAGGAGCTCGGTTGCTTAGTAGGAGATGCCATGACCGGACTGGAACATCGGGGCATCGATATCCTGCTTGGCCCGGATCACTACTGGGAGTACATCATTGGAAAGATTCACCGACAGAGGAAGCTTGACTGCAGTGCAGCCCGTATTCGGATGGGCGGTTCAGGGACGAAAAGGGTCAAGCTCCCGGGTTATTAGTTGCTCCAGGGTGGTCATGCGGAGAACGGCGATCCAAGAGCCCGAACCCATGCCAAGCCTCAAGCAATTCTGGGAACTTCAGAGGATGGGTGTCATCGACGCATCGGTGGACGATCCTTCGGACAACGATGTCATGCGAGACTCCGAAACTATGATCGCCAAGACCAATGGGAGGTGCGAAGTCGGCCTTCCATAGAGGGCAGACATCAGGTTGGCAAATGACAAGGTTGCTGGAATGCCACAGAAGAACTGCAATGTGTGACATGGCACCACCTGCCGGGAAAGGAGAACCCCGCCGATCTCATGTCACGAGGTCTGACCACCTTGGATTGGTCTCCACTCCACTCTGTTGTTCGGGGACCAGTTGGTTGCCGCTGCCAGCTAAAGAATGGCCCAAGGAGAAGCGCGAGGAGCCACCTCGATATAAGCTCGAGGAGAGGGGACCGAGAGCTGACATATTGGACATTTCAACACCATCTGCAACGTTGCTTGATGTCACCGCATTCAGCTCAGCTTCAAAACTCAACAGAACAAGAGTGTGGATGTTTCGATTCCTTCACAACGTTAGGTCAACGGGAAAACAATCGGGGCCTCTGACTGCAGAGGAAATCCAAGGAGCGCGGACATATTGGCTAAAAGCTAATATCGGCGTTTGCCGCCAAGCTTCGACGTGCGACCAGCAGAACCGAGACCCCATCCACTTCTCTTCGAGACTTCAGTAGTTTCATCAACCAAGAGGTAGTGCTTCGCATAAGAGGGCGACTCCGATCGAACAACATGACATACGATGAACGAAACCCTATCGTACTACTGAAAGAGCATCGATATTCCACGGTACTTGTGATCGACGCTCACAGGATGGTGTTACATGCAGGAGTAAGACACACTCCAGTCCAGCTCCGCGAGAGGTATTGGATCCTTCGGGGTACGAGAGCTGGTGAAGAAGATGCTGCGCTGTGTGTAACGTGCCAGCGATTTAGTGCTATTCCGGCGAGTGCTCCAGCGGGACCTCTGCTGCGTACGAGAACGATGCAGGCTGAACTTTCGAGGTAGTTGGTGTAGATTTTGCAGGACTGCTGTACATACAGGCAAAGGACGTCGTACATCACGCTGTTCACTTGTCCAGTGGCGCGGGTGGTCCACTTGGAGCTCGTACCAGACGTTTCAACGAGAAGTTTTCTTGTAGCTGCCCGTAAGTTTGTGTCATGGAGGGGACTTTGCCGCATCATCTACTCAAACAATGCGCTAACCTTCAAGCGAGCCTCCAGAGACCTGGCAGAACTTCGGAAGATCCTACGACACTCAGAAGTGGTGAATCACTTCGCCAATGCAACCATCGAGGGGAGTTTTATTGTTGAGCGTGCTCCTTGGTGGGGAGGATTCTACGAGCGACTGGTTTGATACGTGAAGGTGGGACTAAGAAAAGTGATCAGAAGAAAAACTATGAACGCAGCAGAAGAGTTGTCCACAGTCCTATGCGAAATTGAGGCGATGCTAAATTCTTGTCCCCCAACATTCGTTTACAATGAGCTTGACGAAGGCCAGCCGCTCACACCGACTAGCTTTTTCAGGGGAGGACGACTGACAGCACTTCCAGTGGCTGAAAGAGAAGACTTTGCGTCGTCTCCAGAGATGCTCCGAGAAATATGGAAACAAAGGAAAGCATTCTTTAACAGGCTCTGGGTAACGGGAGGTCAGACTACCCGAGAGAACTTCGATCTGCCCTTGAAACAAAAGGCCAGCAATCGCCACGTCTGGAGGTGGGCGGGCTCGTCCTTCTGAAGGAACAGCTCCCACGTTTACTCCGGAAGATAGGAAGAGTTGAAAAGGTTTTCTGTGGGCGAGACGGCAGGATTTTTGCATGTATAGTGCGCCCGGCCAGGGGCAGTCTTCTGAAAAGACCAACTTCTCTATCCGCTAGAGATAACAAATTTAAAATGGGGTAACACCCATTCGGTGGGGAGTCTGTACCAACAATCGGAGACCTAAGACGAGAAAATGGGCCACAGACGTTTTGAAATGGCGGCCGGGGGCTCGTGCTCGGAACAGATGCGATTGACACGTCAGATCGAACTGCTTTGCTGCTTGTGCATAGTGTAAATAAATGTTTCAAGTTCCTGCACAATGTACTGTCAGGGAAAAATGATATGCAAACAGAGGAGCGCGTGGCTTGCGGTACAGGTTGCGCTGCCTGGAAGTGAGCCTAGGGGCGAAGGTGCGTGGCCTACTCCGATATGTTTATGCTCTCCGCTTGGCGCCCCCTAAGCTTCATCAGTGCGTCTCTTAGTGCACTGAAAGCTACCACCTCTATCTTTGCTCGCTCCGAGAGAGTGCGCGCTTTAGCTGCTACAAGCAGCAAGCTTCCTTGTGCCGCATGCGCCGAGTGAGCAAAGATAGTGGTGATAGCTTTCAGTGCACTAAGAGGCGCACTGCTGAAGCTTGGGGAGTGCCGAGCAAAGGGCGTAAACTCATCGGGTAGGCCATGCACCCTCGCCCCTAGGCTCGCTTCCAGGCGGCGCAGCTTGTACCGCAAGCCACGCGTTCTTCTGTTCGCATTTGATTTTTCCCCGACAGTACATGTTCCTTCAGCTTCAGCTTAGCAGTTGAACCGGGAACGGTGGTTAGAGATGAGCAGGTCCTTGTTGGGGCGTTCATATCCACTGGACAGAGTTGGGGGAGCCTCGACACAGTTGGCCTTTCGTGCAGCTCGGTACGACGGGTAGTGGCAATTGAGGGCGAGGGTTTCCTTCATGAGCTCTTGTACATAGGCTGAAATTAAGACTAGATGTTAGAAGCTGGTAGTTGTACTCGTTTTGACATCTTACCGTATGTGCAGGGCCCTTTCATGGGAGATGCAATTGGCCTCTTTGTTTGTTTAGGCCGCTTGACCAGGAACCTTTTTTTGCCTTCCTTAGTAGTCGCCTGTGGCCTGTCGCTGTTTTCGTTGAAATGCAGCGCTGCCACAAAGACTCTGAAAAGTTAAGACTTTAGCGGGCACATGCAAACAATTGGTTAGCTTGCATACCTTGCCTGCATGCTCTCGTAACCGAAGTGTGTCGACTTCGGTGCGAACTGGTTCACAGTGCTGTGAAAGCACTCAGTTGCGTAGGTTTGCGCTGAGGTTGAGAGCTGCGGGATGTCCTTCAGCAGTGGCTTTGACAGCACGATGCTCTTTAGCTTGTCGTGTGCCTGAAGTCCTGGATAAAGTAGGACACTTGTATTACAGACTGTGTGGTTTCAAATCTGCTATTACAACAATAACACTAAGGCTCATAAGAAAAAGTAGTAGTTTTGTGTAATTAAATTAAAAATATATGATATCCAGAGGTTAATAAAAGGGTTAGAGCTGATGAGAACAGATTAAATTGGGTAAGTTTAATAGGCTGCTACCAGTCCTGCTTACTGCCCGTGTTTATGATGCCTAGATTTTTTTATCGAATAGACCAAGCGATGCCGATTTTAATTTTGCAAAGGCATGATGCACCAAATCTTCATGCTTGGTTGACTCGTGTGCCCGAACATGTAAGCACAGGTCCCAGCGGTCCGTATAAACACCGCGCGGTAACGATGCACGCGGAAGAAAGCTGAAGCTACCACCTATCGGCTCACTCCCCTCTACCAGCAGTCATAGGTTCTTCCCTGGCTGCCACACGGACTAACCAGTATAGAGAGCCAGTAAACTTGCCACATTCATAATCAGACACCTTGAAACTAAGAACCAGTACAACAACTTGGTTGAAATTGTTAAAGAATTCAACCTGAGGCCAATTCAAAAGTTTTATGTGTGAGCAAATTGCGGTTCCACTAGAAAAGGCACACCAGGGCCCGTTTGCTTGAAGCGCTAACTATGGCTACAAGTTGACTGCAGTACCTAGGCGAGGGATTTTGAAATCACGCGACTGGCTCGGTAGAGATGCGGGGAAACATGGCAGTGCCCCGGTGAGTTAGCGCTGCTCGCTTTGGAACTAATATGTCGTTGTAGCTGCAGTATCGGGTGCGTTAATCAGCAACGAATGGTGCAGGAGCCTTCACTTTGCCTTACCTCACTTAAATCGCAAAGCATGAGCAATGACCTTGCCACATTTTTTAGTCTTTCCATTCTGGCCATTTCTAAGCCTAAATGAATGCGATAATTGTCAGCATGGCAACGTCTTTGGAAAACGGATTGCCTTGACTGAATCGGCCGGGTATTCATACCACACAAAAGCAGACAGCGTCGCAGCAGACCTTTTTCTAAATACCCAAGCATTGAGGAGAACGCTGAAAGTGTAATTCTATGGTCCACGAGCGCTGGTCTTCCTCTTATAAACGATTCAAAGTAAATAATCATAAGGCTTTGACAAGCATGCGTGCAAGGCAAAATTTGTTTTGTGGGCAGACCAGCATGTCTGCCCACATCTCATTGCGCAATGTGTGGCACTGCTATCGGCCGGACCTGTTTGTTTGCAAACATGAGTTGGTGTATACTTCACAGCATCACTTGGTATGAAACACTAACATGTCAACACTGTTAATATGCTGTGGTCTACTTGCCCTCAGGAAGCCACTTTTTCTTCCCCAGGTCTCCGTGCTGGCACCTTGGATACAGGGGGTCGGCATGTTCGTGCAAGTCAGCCACGTGTCCCACCAGGGAAGTCCACTTAGGAAGGATCTCCTCTGGCGCTCCATCGCTGGATTCCGCACACCAATAGAGGTGCTTGACAGTTGCCTGCACCCAGTCTTGGAGTCCCACAAGGGATTTGAGTTTCCCAGCTGAGACCATGCGTTTCTTGATGCCTGAAAAATGAAGCATTGTATTCATTCTGCTAAGCACCAAGCTTACATTGCCAGAAACAACAGCTTGACAAAATAAAGAGTTCATAATTATGAACACCAAAAACAAGAAAAACCCAATCCTGCCCCATTTTCTCAAGTATAAAAAAAAACATGGCGATACCTCACTCTAGGACACTTTACTTTTTAGACGCTTTCGTCGAGTGTAAAGTTTGTGCCTGCTGTCTTCGATGCTGCGCAAATAGTTACGGGACGGAAGAAACATCAAAACCCAAGCAGTTTGGGCTCGAAGTCGGCATGCGCATGGCCTGGTGAGCGAGATCGTTCCCAACCGCTCTGGGGACGCCACCTCGCCCAACCTTGCCAACCGCGACCGGACCCTGAGGCCGAAAGGCTCTGGCACAGCCAGGAACGGCACCGAGGTTGGAGCTCCTCTTTCTGCCTAGCATGCAGTGCTCAGAGCTATCGGCGTCTGTCCTTGCACTGAAGGCTCTAGGGACTCCTTCGGACACGAAGGTCCTATTTCGCGAGGCCTGGACAAGGGCCGCTTTACCGAGCAGATTTGCTATATGTCGCTCACATAGTTTGACAATAAAAGCTTGCGGTTCTTCTCTGAAGAAAATATTGCGGGCGACCACACGGACTGCTCTCCGCCGCCGCCGAGGGTGGCTGCCGCCATGTTCTCAGCTGTTCGCTTGCTCCCAGAGCGGGTGCCTTCCCATAATCCTCCCCGATCCAAATTGCGATGCAACCTCCATTTACATGTTTTGAATAAATGTGCATTCGCCATCTCAATCCACCTCTGTCTAGCGACTTGAATGCGATGCGCTCTCCTACTGTATTGTTTGTTTACATCACCGCATTGAATGCGACAACTGGATTCGATGCGACTAAGCCGCATTCATGTAAACACGGCTTATGTTTCAGCTTATATTGTACTGCAGCGAAAACTAGAAGCGCAAGCTCATGGCCTTGGCAGCTGCTCCTGCTGCACGAGAGCTTGTGCCGCCGAGCAGTTGCCATACAGCAAGGAGCTCCCGCTTGTAGCCTTTCCTGCAGTACAACATATGCAGAAACAAAGTATAGTGACAGGCAAGGGTAGGAGTGTTCTGCAATTAAATGTTTTTTTTGTTTTTGCATAACCTGGAACCCCGATTACTTATGGCTCACCTTTTGCAACGTGCCAGCAGTCGAACATGTGCCGAATCTGGGGTTACCACTTGGCAAGGAATGACTTGATCATGGAGTGGCGATCAGTGATGATTCCTCCCACAGTCAATCCATTGGCTTCACAAATCAGTAGAGTCCTTTTCAGGCCCTCGAGCTCCATTGCCCAGCTGCCCTTCGTTTCGTTGGACTGAAGTGACAAATAAAACATTGCATTATTACACCGAACATGAAGTATCCAGAACGAAGTCAACTAGAGCTGTTGAATGAGACAACCCATGTCTGAAACAAGTTGTTTTCGCCATTCATTTTCAATTAATTACAGAAAGGTTTCATTCCAGAAGAACAGAAGCATCAGAACATTTATAGCAGGGGAAATTTACCTGCACTGTTTCCACATGGAGAACCTTCTTCGTTGACACGTCGACGACGGTGTATGTTCCATATTTTGCTGAGTGCCCGGGGGAGTCTGACCGCCCATCACCAGCGAGGACCAGTTCTCGTCCACTTGCTTGCTCGAAGAGCTCGTTTTGTTTCCTGTTCCACACCTGGAAGTTTATTTGCAAAGACTTTTGTAAACAAACATAAATCCTGAACATGCTTTTCATTTCACCTATAAGTATACTGCAAGCTTCTTTTCTTTATGTGAACGTCCATGGAAGTTCAGCATTTAAGTTTGAATCCCAGTAAATGCGATCAAAGCATTGACAAATTGTAATTCGTCTTTCTTTCTTTTCAAAATGAGGGGATGAAATGCTCCGAGTCGTGAGTATAAATATTGAAGGCACATATGCACTACTAGGTAGATTGGCAAAACACTTTTTTACTTTCTATTATCTATGCAAGGGCTAGTTGATGAATAGCTTTTGACATTTTCCGTATTGAAACTCAAGAAGCATAGTTTTGCACTTATTTAGGTCGCATACACCCCTGCCTGTTCAGGTCTTGTTCCCCTCGTAGCAATCAACAAGGACAGTTTGGCTGCCGAGGAGCCGCCTTCTCAAGAGCGGGCTCGTTTTTTTAACCTTGAAGAAATGCCACCCCGTATAAAAAATAGAGTACTCGCCGATTAATCTTTACGATCGGCCTGGGAAACATTTATTTTTGATTCTTTTACTTATTCCCCAAATCAAAATCTGCCCTTTACACTGTACACTTATCCAGTAGGTGCAATCAGTCACGAAGCAGGAGAATAAGAATTAATTAAAAACGTTGCCTCCACGTTTAGAAACACATAGGGCGACAATTCACCCACATGGAATGCGGCGAGTCTTCGAGCTTGAAGTATGTGCCATGAACCCTGTATATACTTGCTTTGCCCACACAGTTGGTACCTTTCAACCCCAGGAGTGTGGTAAAAATAGGTGCAGAGGAACAGAGGACATCTCAGCTCTCCCTATTTACAATATTTTCCAGCACATAAGTTGTTTCTTTCCTCAAATTCCTGTCACTGCATCTTACACAGAGGTGCGACTTACACCGCTTTTTTTGCAAGTATAAGCCATAGCTGTGCAAGGCCGTATCAAAGTTACAACAAAGGAGAATCGGCAGAGCCTGTAGTTTGTATGGCATCGCACAGACCTAGATCCATTAGATGCAGCCTCGGGTGCTGCAGTGTATTGAATCGTACAGACCTAGATCCATTAGATGTGGCCTTCGGGTCGGCGGATCAGCTTTTCCTTACAATTGGAACCTTGGCAATATGCCGGCTTCCAGCAGAGCTTACAGCCGGCCATATCAGAACAAATTTCCCACGGTAGTTCGCAAGAACATTGAAGCTGGCTCTTACTTGTGCTTATATTACAATATACATATGACAGCTTATCAATGCAGTTTTGCCTTGCGGCCCGTATAAAGATGTGCCACCTATAGACGTTTGCAAGTACGGCCTCGGGGCGCCGCCACCTTGCCCAGTTGGAGTGCACTTGGGCGCATTAAATTCGATTACGATGCCTCACTAAGGTGTCGTAATCAGACTATGGCCGCGCCCAAGCACAACCCAACTCGGCAAGATGGAGGCACCCTGAAGACGCACTTGCAAACATGTATATATCAAGCTTTCTGTAAAAACAGCCGTTTATAGGAGTGTGTGACTTGTAGACAGAAACATATGGTGCTTCCTACGCATGTACTACACCATTCAGGATCCCATAGGAGTGCTGAGCCTGAAATATTGGCACCTAAAATAAACCTCTCACAGGAAAGGAAAGGCTTGAAAACGTGCCATACCTGTCTGATCGCTGGTAGAAGGAAGGCACCCTGAATCTTAAAGTATGTCTCGTACGATAAACAGGGCACGCCCATCTGGTGGAGGAGCCTCAGCACTTTTTTGACAATGCTCCCAGAGAAGAGCGTTGCTGCAGCTAGGAGCACATCGCCCAGGGCCCTCCTATTCACTGATGGTTGGCTGGTCCAGGTGTGTTGGTGGCCATTGTTGCACATTCTGTGCACCCGGAGACATGTCCCTCTGATCTTCTTCTCTGTGATGCGGCACAGTGCAGTGCACTCGGGACAATTACCTAGTAGCTCGTCCAAACAAGACTCGAAAACAATAAACTTTCGTTCCGAGACGTAGTCGATGCTTTTGCTGCTCTCATGCTGACTGAGTGCGCTGTCAGATGCAGTGTTCTGCTGTGCATCCCTGGAATAAAAAAAAGAAAACAAAAAAGCAACCTCTTACACACCCTCTCATACTCGTCACTAAAGATGACATATATCCGACTGATACCAACCTCAGAAAGCCGGTGTCGGACATCATCATGAGGAAGCTAGCGTCAGAGGGGAGGTATAGGCTGTCTGCTTCCACGTGTGGCTCTGGCAGCTCCGTGGGACACTCTTCAACAGACTCTTCCTGGCCTGCACTGGGCAGCTCATTGTTTATTGTTGGCAGCTGTGGTGGGTCCGGTGGTGGAGCTGGTTGTCTGCGCACTGGCGGCTGCGGCGACAGAGTCAGCCCTTCAGGCAACATCCAATCTAATGGAGCCTGGGGGACATGATTTGGTGAGGAGCATCGTGGTGTCACGAGGACAGGATTCGTTTGGGACTTTCGTGATGAAGTCTTCAAGGTGACTTGTATGCCTGTGCCATCATAACGTGTTACAACGATCTGAACAATGCTGCCTTCTGTGAAATTTCTTCTTGCAGATACATACCTCGATTTCTGTAGATGCCCGAGGTCTGCGTAGCAGCGTTCCGAAGGTCAGGTTGAGCCTGTTTGGCATTACTGATGGAGGGGGCTGTTCACAGCAGAGGAAATAAAGTGTCTATCAAAACAAAATCATCCTTGGCTCATGTAATCAGCAATAGGCTAGATTACCCTAATTTGGCAGAATTCAGTACTAAAATATGTCAGCCGAGTAGTTTCAATTGGCGCACATACCTGAACTCGAACAAGGTTCTTCGATGCCAGCATTTGCATCATGCATCGGTTCATGTCCAGAGTCAGGACCTTGCTCAGTGTCGTCACCAGAAGGGGTTGACGATGTGCTGACTTCTTCAGCGATGAGTGTGGCCTTTGCTTGTGCCGGTGCCTCCAGCAATTCAGCAATTATCTATAAATGATAGGCATAAAAACTTACAACATGCAAACAAACACACTGTCAATATGCTGCTAACACCCAGGTTCTGCTCAAATGAGGGTGACTGGCCCAAGCCCTTATCTTCGTTAGGCTCATGTCACTCTGTGTACCCTCCTCATCTTGACTTTGCTTGAACTG